TATATATACATTTTTTAAAAAGGCTAGTCAAATAAGCAGTGGGAGTAGAAAAAGAATAAATCTGTAACTGGTTGTGATCAATTAGTTCTAAATACCATTGCACTTGTACTAACGTATAAATTCCTGACTGCTCCTCTCCCTGACCATTAATCTGAAATACCTAGTTAAACAGTTGGGAAATAATAAAGAGAAATTTACTAGAATCCACATAAATATGCATGAAAGTTTGGGGAAGAGGATGTACTATGCTAATATGGCTAATGTTTAGCAAGAAGCAATGAAAGGGAAGTCATGGTAGAACTCACTGAAATCAGAAATACTCTGGGCTGCATCCTTCAGTAGGTGACCCTGGAAAAACTACTTAGTGGCTCGATTTGTCTCTTAAATGAGGATAATAATAGCTGTTGTAAAGACCAAATATTATTTGCTCAGCAAATAATAAGGCTTAATAAATAGTAGTGGCTGTTCTGAGTGCAGTGGTATTTACAAGTAATTGATTACAACTAGTTACAGATGTCTTTGTTGCTACTCCACTCACACTGCTTCACTTGACTGGCCTAAAAAAATGGTGATAATAGTGAAGATGGTGGTCCAGATTTTGAGAGTTCTTTATCATCATTGGAGTTTTTATGTTACCCCTACAGTGGGGAGCCCTCAGGTGAGAATAAAAATGATAGGTAGTACTGGTCACATTGCGGTTTAAGTGATTACTGATCTAGCCAAGAATGATGAGACCCTGAACTGAGATAGTAGTAGTGGGAATAGAGAGAAAATAGACTTAAGAGAGGGTCCAGGCTGGGCACAGTGGCTCACACCTGTAATCCCAGCACTTTGGGAGGCCAAGGTGGGAAGAGGCCAGGAGTTCAAGACCAGCCTGGGCAACATAGTGAGTCCCCATCTCTACAAAAAATACTAGTCAGGTATGGTGGTGCACACCTGTAGGTCTAGCTACTGGAAAGCCTAAGGTGGGAAGATAATTTGAGTCCAGGTGGGAGGCTGCAGTGAGCTATGATTGCATCTCTGCATTCCAGCCTGAGCAACAGAGCAAGACCCTGTCTCTCAAAAAAAATTTTAAAAAAAAGCAAGAGAGTCCAGAAATCAAAACTCTGAAGTTGAATTTGGAAGTTGAGGAATTGAGAGAATTTGAAATGGCTCTGAGAGTTTTAAATTTGAATAGCTTGATTGGTTGGTGTGCCACGGAGGTGAGGAGTACTGGCTTTAAGTAGTAAGAGGAAGCAGTTGTGGAAGGAAAAGTAATGAATGTTTTCAGTTTTGTTTTTGAGGTAGTTGAAAGGAGTCCAGGATTCCAGGTTAGTCAGTTGAATTTCAGAGGAAAGATTGGAAGTAAAGACTGGGACTTGAATATAAGTTTTTTTAAGTTTAAAGTTATGGTATATTTAGTTTGAATCATCACCTACTGAAATACATATGAGAGTAATAATTATATTTTTTAAATGCTTAATTATTAATACAATTCAAATGTTTTTAAATCATCTCTTTCTCATTAGGCATGTGAAATGTCATTACTTTGTCAAATGTCAACGTGAGAATAGATGTCATGTGTCAACACCCTCTGCCTATTATTTTTTTAAGAGATTTTGAGGGAGAGATTTACAGTACATACTGTTATTGCTCTGCATTGGCCACATCTGCTTCATTTGGTTGCTGTTACATTAGTATACCTACAAGAAAAGATAGAAGTTGATGGGTCAGGCAAACTGTTAAGCCTAAGGATAATAGAAAATTCAAATAACATTTTCACCATTCTTTAAATGTTACAGTCTTAGTTGGAAATACCTGAAGTAGCCTTGAGATGTACAAGAACTTTCTAATGCATTTAAATTACAAAATGGAGTGTAATTTTTTTTTTATGGAGAAGAAAAATGCCAGCCAGGCACAGTGGCTCATGCCTGTAATCCCAGCACTTTGGAAGGCCGAGGCAGGTGGATCACCTGATGTCAGGAGTTGGAGACCAGCCTGACCACATGGAGAAACCCTGTCTCTACTAAAAATATAAAAATTAGCCAGGCATGGTGGCAGACACTTAGAGTCCCAGCTGAGGCTAAAGGGAGAATTGCTTGAACCCAGGAGGCAGATGTTGCGGTGAGCCAAGATTGCACCACTGCACTCCATCTCAAAAAAAAAAAAAATGCCTTAATACAGATTTAATAAAATGTTTTAACAGTTGCTTAACCTATTTCTCATTTTCATTCCTAGTTTCCCAAATAAATTGTTGAGAATAAACTGAGATGATCAACATTAGAAATTTTTAAAGAGCATTTTTTTTGTCAAATGATTGTATAAAATATTTGATTAGTCTGGGTGCAGTGGCTCATGCCTGTAATCCCAGCACTTTGGGAGGCTGAGACAGGTGGATCACGAAGTCAAGAGATTAAGACCATACTGGCCAACATGGTGAAATCCCATCTCTACTAAAAAAACAAAAATTGTTTGGGGGTGGTGTCGCATGCCTGTAGTCCCAGCTCTTCGGGAAGCTGAGGCAGAATCACTTGAACCTGGGAGATAGAGGTTGCAGTAAGCTGAGACTACACCTCTGCACTCTAGCCTGGTGACAAAGCGAGACTCTGTCTCAAAAAAAAGTTTTATTAAATACAAGTTTAAGTTTAGTTATATAGATGGCAGAGACTTTAAAATATGGAAAATAACTAGTATAATAATAAACATGGCCATTTTTTACTTAAGGGAACTTAAGGATTTGCAGATTTCCGATGATTTTTCTCACCACAGCAGAAAAATCTGCTTTTCTCATCTACTAAGAAAGGCAGAACAAACATTTTTTGAAGAGTTACTGCCCCACTAGAGTCCAGGACCAAGTTGATCTATGTTCTTGAGTGATTAAAGTAAATTTAAAAATTGGGGACTGCTCAGGCAAAGAAAGGGAGGTGGTATGCAAGTAAAATGGCATCGTCGAGGTGTAGTGGTCTTTGCTGAGGCCCACAGGCTGGCCAGCCTCTGGTTGAGCAGCACAGGATCTTTGCAGATGGCGTTGAGAAACCAATGAGCAGAGAGATGAGCCTGATGGGCCTGTGTGACTCTAGATACAGAGCCAGGTGAGAGTCATTCACCTGTAGAAATTTCCAGGCTTTCATTATGGACATTAGTGTCAGGGTAACTTAATTACTTTAGAATTTACATTCTTTCCTTTGCAAAACATAGAAATCTTTTAAAAGAACCATTGGAAAAAAAAGATATATCTGAATTGGAATGCATTGCTTCAAATTGATGAATCAGGAACACAAATGACAAACTAGTTTAGCTCTCAGTTTATATTTAACTCCATTAGAATTTACGGGGCTGGGTACTGGGCACAGTGGCTCATACCTGTATTCTCAGTACTTTGGAAGGCCAAGGCAGGTGGATCACTTGAGCTCAGGTGTTCAAGACCAGTCTGGGAAATTTGGTGAAACCCCATTTCTACAAAAATACAAAAAATATTCTGAAATACATAAAACAATTTGTGATGTCTACATAATTAAACCCTTTAAGTTACTGTTTTTAAGTCAGTTTTGGATTAAAGAATCTATTCAAGTTTTGGAGAGTTAAATCTCTCTCCATAAAAAGTATGTGTGTGCAGAATGTACAGAACTTTTTTTATTCTATTTTTTAATATGTATATATATTTTTTATTGTACTTTAGGTTCTGAGGTACATGTGTAGATTATGCAGGATTGTTGCATAGGTACATACAAGGCAATGTGGTTTGCTGCCTCCACCCCCCATCACCTTTACAGAACATTTTACCAGCTAATGTTTCCCCTTAATCAAGACCCCTGGGTTATTATATATATAAATGTATATGTATATAAAAATACATACATTTTTGGTAGCAGCAATTATTTTTCAGTTTTTAACAATTATGGATACATAATAGTTGTACATAATTTGTGGTGTACATGTGATATTTTGCTGTAAGTATACAGTGTGTAAAGATCAAACCAGGGTAATTGGTTTACCTCGAGCATTTATCATTTATTTGTGTTAGGGACATTCTAATTCCTCTCTTTTAGTTATGGGGAAATAGGAAATAAATAATTAACTATAGTTGCCCTGTTGTGCTACTGAACACTACATCTTATTTATCCTATCTAATTGTATTTTTGTACCCATTAACTCTCCCTTTCCACAACCCTTCCCAGTCTTTGATAGCTGTCATTCTTCTGTTTCCATGAGTTTAATTTTAGCTTCCCCATACAAGTGAGACTATGCTGTATTTGTCTTAGTGTGCCTGGCTTTTTTTCACTTTAAGTACTGTTTCCACCTCCATCCATGTTGTGGCAAATGATAGAATTTCATTCTTTTCTATGGTTGAATAATATTCTGTGTATATGAATCAGATTTTCTTTATCCATTTATCTATTGATAGACATTTAGGTTGATTACATATCTTGGCTATTGTGAATAGTGCTGCAATAAACATGGGAGTGCAGGTTATCTCTTCAATATACTAATTTCCTCTCATCCCATTTGAAATGACTTTTATCCAAAACATAGGCAATAATGAATGCTGGCATAAATGTGGAGAAAGAGGAACCCTTGTACACTGTTGGTGGAAATGTAAACAACCACTTTGGAGAACAGTTTGGAGTTTCCTCAAAAAACTACAAATAGAGCTGCCATGTGATTCAGCAACCCCACTGCTGGTTGTACACCCAAAAGAAAGGAAATCAGTATATCAAAGAGATACGTGCTCCTGTATTGATTGCAGAACTATATATTTATACTACATATTGTGATTTTTAACATACTCTGTGCTTTTAGAAGTGTCAAAAGGAGCCTTACCATAGAGCATATTTTATAGAAAAGCTGTTCTACAACACTAGCAGTTTTTACATATTGCTATTGCATTATTTCCATAAAAATATGTAGTGATCATGAATTGTTTGAAATGTTTATTGTATAAACTAGATTTTTCTCTCAAAAAAATTATTTTTCTGACAGTTGTGTTTTGACCAACACCACATTTTCTTTGTTTATTCTAGATTCTGAAGAGGCTCAATCTGTAAATCCTTCTAGTGTTGATGAAAATATTGACTCTGAAACAGAGAAAGACTCTCTCATCTGTGAAAGTAAACAAATCCTTCCCAGTAAAACACCTCTTCCATCTGCCCTTGATGAGTATGAGTTCAAAGATGACGATGATGAAGAAATTAATAAGATGATTGATGATAGGCATATTCTTAGGAAAGAACAACGAAAAGAAAATGAACCCGAAGCAGAAAAAACTAGTTTATTTGCAAAACAGGAGAAAGCCTTCTATCCTAAATCATTTAAAAATAAAAAACAAAAGCCATCTAGGGTTTTATATTCAAGTACTGAAAGTTCTGATGAAGAAGCTCTTCAGAATAAAAAGATTTCTACTACATGTTCTGTTATCCCTGAAACTTCAAATTCTGATACACAAACCAAAAAGGAATATGTAGTTACAGGTGAACACAAACAGAAAGGCAAAGTTAAAAGAAAATTGAAGAACCAGAATAAAAATAAAGAGAACCAAGAGCTGAAGCAAGAAAAGGAAGGAAAAGAAAATACCAGAATAACAAACTTGACAGTAAATACTGGACTAGATTGTTCAGAAAAGACCAGAGAGGAGGGGAACTTTAGGAAATCTTTTAGCCCAAAAGATGATACTTCATTACATTTATTTCATATTTCCACGGGTAAATCTCCCAAACATTCTTGTGGATTAAGTGAAAAACAGTCAACACCACTAAAACAAGAACATACTAAAACATGTTTATCCCCAGGAAGTTCTGAAATGTCATTACAGCCTGATCTTGTTCGGTATGATAATACAGAATCTGAATTCTTGCCAGAAAGTTCAAGTGTAAAATCTTGTAAGCATAAAGATAAAAGCAAACATCAGAAAGATTTCCATTTAGAATTTGGTGAAAAATCAAATGCCAAAATAAAGGATGAAGATCATAGTCCAACGTTTGAAAATTCAGATTGCACACTGAAAAAAACAGATAAAGAAGGTAAAACATTAAAAAAACATAAATTGAAACATAAAGAGAGGGAAAAAGAAAAGCATAAAAAAGAAGTAGAAGTTGAAAAGGAAAAATACAAAAATAAGGATAGTGCCAAAGAACTGCAGAGGAGCGTGGAATTTGATAGAGAATTTTGGAAAGAGAATTTTTTTAAAAGTGATGAAACTGAAGATCTGTTTTTAAATATGGAACATGAATCCCTAACATTAGAAAAAAAATCAAAATTGGAAAAAAACATCAAAGATGAGAAAACCAAGGAAAAGCATGTTTCAAAAGAGAGAAACTTTAAAGAGGAACGAGACAAGTTTAAAAAGGAAAGTGAGAAATCTTTTAGGGAGGAAAAAAAAGATTTAAAAGAAGAGAGAGAGAACATACCCACAGATAAAGACTCAGAATTAATTTCTTTGGGTATGAGTGCTATTGAGGAATCTATCGGGCTTCATTCAATGGAAAAGGAAATAGACATTGAAAAGCAAGAAAAGCATATAAAGGAAAGTAAAGAAAAATCTGAGAAGCGATTTCAAACTAAAGAAAAGGACATTGAGAAGGAAAGAAAAAACTTTGAAAAGAAGATAAAACATGAGCATAAATCAGAAAAAGACAAGTTAGATCTTAGTGAATGTGTCGATAAAATAAGAGAAAAGGACAAGCTGTATTTGCATCACACAGAAAAATGCCATAAAGAAGGTGAGAAGAGCAAAACTGCTGCTATTAAAAAAACTGATGACAGAGAGAAAAGTAGAGAAAAGATGGATAGGAAACATGACAAAGAAAAGCCTGAAAAAGAGAGGCATCTAGCAGAAAGCAAAGAAAAGCACTTGATGGAGAAAAAAAATAAACAATCAGATAATAGTGAGTATACTAAATCAGAAAAAGGAAAAAATAAAGAAAAAGACAGAGAGCTAGACAAAAAAGAAAAATCTAGAGATAAAGAAAGTATAAATATAGCTAACTCCAAACATGTACAGGAAGAGAAAAAATCAAGTATAGTAGATGGTAATAAAGCACAACATGAAAAACCCTTATCCCTTAAAGAAAAAACAAAAGATGAACCTTTGAAAACTCCAGATGGAAAAGAAAAAGATAAAAAAGATAAAGATATAGATAGATACAAAGAAAGAGACAAACATAAAGATAAAATTCAACTAAATAGTTTACTCAAACTAAAATCTGAAGCAGATAAGCCTAAACCTAAGTCATCACCAGCATCAAAAGATACCCGGCCTAAAGAAAAGAGGTTAGTGAATGATGATTTAATGCAGACAAGTTTTGAACGAATGCTAAGCCTTAAAGACCTAGAAATAGAACAGTGGCACAAAAAACATAAGGAAAAAATTAAGCAAAAAGAAAAGGAACGGTTGAAAAATCGTAACTGTTCAGAACTTAAAATAAAAGATAAAGAAAAAACAAAGCATACACCAGCTGAATCCAAAAATAAAGAACTTACTAGGTCAAAGAGTTCAGAATTGAGTGATGCTTATACCAAGGAGAAACAACCTAAAGATGCTGTGAGTAACAGATCACAATCTGTTGACACCAAAAATGTAATGACTTTAGGGAAGTCATCTTTTGTTTCTGATAATAGCTTAAACAGGTCTCCTAGATCAGAAAATGAAAAGTCAGGTCTCAGCTCCAGATCTGTATCCATGATTTCTGTTGCTAGTTCAGAAGATTCCTGCCATACTACAGTGACAACCCCAAGGCCTCCAGTTGAGTATGACTCTGACTTTATATTAGAGGGTTCGGAATCCCAAATGTCCTTTTCCCAGTCACCTTTTTTGTCAATTGCCAAATCACCTGCCCTTCATGAAAGGGAATTGGACAGCCTGGCTGACTTGCCAGAGCGGATTAAGCCACCATATGCAAACAGACTTCCAACATCCCATCTTAGGTCATCTTCTGTAGAAGATGTTAAACTAATTATAAGTGAGGGGAGACCTACTGTAGAAGTTCGAAGATGTAGCATGCCGTCTGTCATTTGTGACCATACAAAACAATTCCAGACAATATCAGAAGAAAGCAATCAAGGTAGCTTATTAACTGTGCCAGGAGATACTAGTCCTTCTCCCAAACCTGAGGTATTCTCAAATGTGCCTGAAAGAGAGCTTTCAGATGTGTCTAACATCCATTCCAGTCTTGCAGCCTCTCCAACTGGAGCTTCAAACAGCAAATGTGTTTCGGCTGATAGAAATATCAAGAATACTGCTCCAGTGGGCACTGTAATGGACAGTCCGGTGCATTTAGAGCCATCTAGTCAAGTTGGTGTGATCCAAAATAAATCATGGGAGTTGCCTGATAGACTAGAGACATTAAGCACCAGAGACTTTATCTGCCCACATTCTAACATACCTGATCAAGAATCCTCTCTTTTGAGTTTTTCTAATCCTGAAAACAAAATATTGAAAGAAAATGCTGATTTTTTTTCCCTTCACCAGACTGAACTGCCAGGAAACTCTTACGCTCAGGATCCAGCATCCTTTATGCCTTCACAGCAACCTTGCTCTTTCCCCAGCCAATCACTTTCAGATGCTGAATCGATTTCTAAACCTATGTCTTTGTCATATGTTGCCAATCAAGAGCCAAGTATTTTACATCAAAAAAATGCAGTTCAGATTATTAGGTCTGTTTTAGATACTGACAATGAATCTACAAAAGATACAGAAAATACTTTTGTCCTAGGAGATGTTCAAAAAACAGATGCCTTTGTCCCATTATACTCTGATGGCATTCTTCAGGAAGCATCACCAAACTTTGAGAAGGCTTACACTTTACCTGTGTTACTGTCAGAAAAAGACTTTAGTGGACGTGATGCCTCTACCCAGCTAAATACACATTATGCATTTAGCAAACTAACTTATAAGTCTTCCAGTGGCCATGAAGTTGAGAACAGCACAATTGATATTCAGGTTATTTCACATGAAAAGGAAAACAAAGTAGAGAGTTTGGTTTTAACTCATTTGAATAGGTGTGATTCTGATTTATGTGAAATGAATGCAGGGATGCCAAAAGGAAACCTAAATGAACAAGATAATCCAAAACATTGTCCTGAAAGTGAAAAGTGTTTGGTTTCCATAGAAGATGAAGAATCTCAACAAAGCATTTTATCAAGTCTGGAAAACCATTCACAACAGTCAGCTCAACCAGAAATGCATAAATATGGTCAGTTAGTTAAAGTAGAATTAGAAGAAAATGCCGAAGATGAAAAAACTGAAAACCAAATCCCTCAAAGAATGACTAGAAACAAAGCAAATACAATAGCAAATCAAAACAAACCTATTCTTGCTAGCTGTACACTATTATCAGAAAAAGACAGTGAATCCTCATCTCCTAGAGGAAGAATAAGATTAACAGAAGAAGATGATCCTCAAATTCACCATCCACGGAAAAGGAAAGTGTCACGTGTACCTCAGCCTGTGCAAGTGAGTCCCTCTTTACTACAGGCTAAAGAGAAAACTCAGCAATCTCTGGCAGCCATTGTAGATTCTCTGAAACTAGATGAGATTCAGCCATACAGTTCAGAGAGAGCAAATCCATATTTTGAATACTTGCACATAAGAAAAAAAATTGAAGAAAAACGCAAATTATTGTGTAGTGTGATTCCTCAAGCACCTCAGTATTATGATGAATATGTAACATTTAATGGATCATATCTCCTGGATGGAAACCCCTTAAGCAAGATTTGTATTCCCACAGTAAGTAATGTCATCACTTACTATACACCTGCAACGCTGTCCAATAGAAGTATAACGCTAGCCACATACATAATTTGAAGTTTTCTAGTAGCCACATTTTTAAAAGTACAAGCAGGTGAAATTTGTTTTAATAAATGTTTAACTTAATATATCCAAAATACTATTTCAACATGTAATCAATTTAGAACAAGTATTAATGAGATATTTTACATTTTTTAAGCTAAGTGTGAAATCTGGTATGCTTACAGCACATCTCAATTCAGACAAGCCACATTTTAGTAAGTACTAAGTGACCCTGAGTGGCTGGTGGCTACTTACTGGACAGCACAAGTCTACAGTATTTTCTTTTTCTTTCCTGCTTTTCTTTTTGCTTCAAAGAAAGCATGTTTTTATTTCTTGGAAGGTTAATGCCTCCACATATGCTTTTAAGCCCATTCTTTCCAGTCTTCTCTGGAACCGTCCTCTATTCAAACACTGTTCTTGCTAGTTTTTTGTTTTTTTGTTTTTTTTCATTTTTCCCTCTCCATTGACCTTTACCCACTCTGAAGATAGTTGGGTCACCTCTATCCTGGTGAGAAAAATGTTCTCCCGTGACTGTGTGAGTTTATCAAGCTTACTCTGTCCAAGTGTAATCTCTGCATGATTTCTCTGTCTCATACCTTTACCATTTTGCACTGGAAGGGGTCACCATTGAGCCCATAATTGCCAGATTCATTGGACTCATTTTTCTCTTTGATATGTCAAATTTGGCATTGTGACCACTTCATAAAATTCTTTCCTCCCTGTTCTTGCATGTTGGTGTTCTCTTCTGGTTCCTTTGCCTCACTGACTAATCTTTATTTAATTCTTCTTTTTTTCTTTTTTTTGGAGAGGCAAAGTCTCTCTCTATTACATAGGCTGGTCTTGAAGTCCTGGTTCCAAGCGATCCTTCTGCCTCTGCCTCCCAAAGTATTGGGATTACAGGCATGAGCCACCACACTCAGCCCTTTTTCTGTGTATTTTAGTGACTCGTTTTCTCTACACCCACCCTTTATTTTTATTTTACTATTTTCTTTCTTATAGCTCACTATAACTTAAGACCCCTGGGCTCAAGCAATCCTCTCATCTCAGCCTCCTGCGTAGCTGGGACTACAGGCACACACCACCATACCCTGCTAGTGCTTTGTTTTTTTTTGTTGTTGTTTGTAGAGATGAGGTCTCGCTCTGTTGCCCAGGCTGGTCTCAAACTCCTAGGCTCAAATGATCCTCCCACCCCGGCCTCCCAAAGCTGTGGGATTCCAGGCATGAGCCACCACACCTGGCCTTAATATGAGTTCACTGGTCATCCATTCTTCTGTTGACTTTTTGCTTATGTCTTTTTTAAATGTGGAAATTATCTATATATCTGTGGTTTCAGTAGTCTTCCAAGTGTCAAGTAGTTCCCTAAAATTCTTATCTGGTTGTATCATTTCTGACCTCCAAAACCAAATATCAGTACTTTCCGGGCATCACTACCTAAATTAAATACCCTTCTGACACCTTGTTATAGATTGGGTTCCCCAGGAAACAGGTGCTGAGATGGTGTGCAAGAGGCTTATTGGTGGGTTTCATCAAAAATAAATGAGTAAGGGAAGCAGAATTGAGCAAAGCAAGAAGTGAAATGCAGTTGCAACAGTGACCTCAGCTGAATCCACAAGACCTCTGAAGTGCATGGCCCTTCTGCTAGGTGATTTCTCAGGAAGGGAGCATGCCCTTGGGCACACCAGTGCTCAGATGAGTGCCTCATTCTTGCACTAAAACTTTAAACTTAACATGTACCAAAGGGAATTAGTTACCTCTCACTTTCTGAGAAACAAATCTGTATTCATTGGAACTGACACCACAGTAGAAAATGAGCAGTCACCAAATTCTAACCATTGTGCCTTCGAACTCCAAAATCTATACCCTCTACCACTGTCTTGGTATAATCTCTTACTTAGTATACCCATTGTGGCAGCTTTTTACTTCTGGCCTCTTGTCTGCTAGAGCATTCTCTTTTGTTGTTAAGTTTCTACTTTTTAAAACAATAAAAAGCTATTTCCCTACTTAAATACCTAAGATGTGATTAACTGGCTTCCCATGATCTGCAGCTTAAAATCCAAATGGTAAAGCCCTGCATAACCATGCATTTCATGATCTGACCTCAGTCCGACCTCTGCAGCTTCATTTTCTCACTGCTTCCAAACATACCCAGTATCTCAGCCAAACAACTCACTCTTTAACAGAAATTTCATCCTCACTGTTTTTGTAGTGCTGTTCCCTCCACCTGAAATGCCCTTCTCTCCAGGTCCCTTCTCTGTCCTTTTTTGTCTCTGCCTTTGTTTCAACTGTGATGTCACCTTTGTGGGAAATCTTGTTGAAGCAGAATTGCTTGGGTCATCCTTATGCTTTCTTTATAATATAATTAATCATGTACATGTCTGCCTCTGCCTGTGACCTGTAATACACTTACAGATTGAGTCCCAAATTTATCTTTAGTCCTGAATACACTACTGACCTGACCTCCATAACCACGTTTCTGACTGCTTTTGGACACCTGAATGTCCCACAAGATCCTTAAAATCATGTCTAAAGCCAAATGATTATCTTACCTCAAAAGTGTTTTTTGCCCTCTTTGGTTACTGTCATTGTCTGCTGTCTAATTTCCCCAACTGGGAACCCAAGATTCAACCTTGATCTCTTCTCGGCCTCACTTCAAACCAGTCACTAAGTCATGTTCATTCATCTTAACTTCCTTTCCCCTTTTCTGTTACCTCTGTTATGCAAGGACTTTGTTAGTTCCTTAGACTATCATTCAGATATTCAAATATTCATCTTATTGTATGTACAAGTCATAACTAGGTGCTAAGCATTGTGCTAGTAACCAGATACCAGAGATGAACAAAATATAGACATTGTGAATTGCTGCCATAGGTTTCTAGTCCTCATCTGATCTCTCCTCTCAATCTTGCTTGCTTTCTGTCTGGGTTCATTATAAAGCACAGATCTGATTTTGTGATTACTGGGCTAAACATCTTCAGGGACTCCCAGTTTTCTATAGGCTAACCTTCCTATTCCTTCTTGTATACAAGATCCTTCTCATACTGTTCTAGGCTTGGCTCCAGTTACTTCTCTAATGTGTACTTGTTGGCTATACTTGGAGTCCTCTGACTATTATGTGCTGTTTGACAGACATTCCTTCTTTCAAAGTCCAGTTCAAAAGAGATCAAAAAGTTAGAAGAAAGATGGTTTTTAGTCTTATATCCACAGAATACCTGATGCTAGTGCCTTTTGAATCTTAAAAATTGAGATTTAGATGGCAGTAGTAGTAGATTAAAAATAAGGGATTGTAGGATGGGCGTGGTGCTTATGCCTGTAATCCCAGCACATTAGGAGGCCGAGGCAGGCAAATCCTCTGAGGTCGGGAGTTGGAGACCAGCCTGGCGAATGTGGAGAAACCCCGTCTCTACTAAAAATACAAAATTAGCCGAGCGTGGTAGTGCATTACCTGTAATCCCAGCTATTCGGGAGGCTGAGGTGGTAGAATCGCTTGAACCTGGAATGCAGAGGTTGCAGTGAGCCGAGATCACACCATTGCACTCCAGCCTGGGCAACAAGAGCAAAACTCCATCTCAAAAAAAGAGGTGGGGGGTTGTAAATAAATTTGTTATTGATTATTTCAGCAACATAATCTGTTAATGAGACAAAAAATATAAAGCTAGTAACTTTCTTATTTCATTCCCCAACTTTGTTTTCCCTTAAAAAGTAAGAAATTTTACCTGAAATAATATGTAGTGACATAGGCTTAAAATAGAGGTATAACTGTAAAGAACAAATTTAAGTTAGAACTTTTAAACAAACTATTTCAGTAAAAATCATTTTAGATGAACCGTATTAGGTTGCTGCCTTAATCTATTGACTACGTATATATACATTTATTGTGTATATATATACATACACACATATATGTAATCTGTATATGATAAATACATAAATGTGTATATGTTCGTATGTCACCTTACTCTTGCAAAAGTGATGTAATTCAAGTTTGACTTCCTTGAAACAATTCTCAGAATATGTCTGGTTATATTTAGTGTGGCCAGGCACAGTGGCTCATGCCTAATCAATCCCAGTACTTTGGGAGGCCAAGGCGGGTGGATCATCAGGTGTCAAGACCATCCTGACCAACAAGGTGAAATCCCATCTCTACTGAAAATACAAAAATTAGTTGTGGCGGGCATCTGTAATCCCAGCTACTTGGGAGGCTGAGACAGGAGAATCGCTTGAACCCAGGAGGCAGAGGTTGCAGTTTGCTGAGATCGCGCCATTGCACTCCAGCCTGGGTGACAGAGCAAGACTCTGTCTCAAAAAAAGAAATTGTATCAAATATTGTTCTAAGAGGGACTATAAACAGAGGTGAGAAATATTCCTTAATGTAGTGGGAAGTTATTTTTATTTTTTAATGAGAATTAACTAAAGTAGTGAAACACAGCACAATATAGTAGAAAGCACTGTAGGTTTCCAATTAGCATATATGACTGCAAGTCTGGATTTTGTTACCGACCCACTGTGTGATACTGAATTATTTCCCATCTCTGATCCTTAGTTTTCACATCTGTAAAACAAAAATAAATGTCTACCCTACCTCAAAGTAGGTTGAAATAGAATATGCCAAAGCCCAATAAAACTTTTGAAACACTATATAGATTTAAGGTGGTTACCATTATTTTATACAGCTGCAAATCACTTTAAGGTTCATACTTATTCAAGCTAATATGTGAACTCCAGAGTTTGTACATAAAATGCTGTGTATGTAAGTTTACTGGACTTAAACTCATTTGTTCAAAATTCAGTTTGAAAAATAATAAAGACCAGCATAACAAAAATCTTGTGGGCACGACATTCTTTTTCTTACTTTCCAATATGGCTTTATCCATTTGTTCCCTACCAGCCAACTAATTGCCATTTTATGAAAGTAATCTTTCCTCACATTTATGTTATCCAGTTATAGAACCCATTAGAAATTGTAAAATGGGGACCAGGCCTGATGACTTAATAACTGTAATCCCAGCACTTTAGGAGGCCAAGGTGGAAAGACCACTTGAGGCCAGGGGTTCAAGACCAACGAGGTGTCTACAAAAAAAAAATTGTGGTAAAACATTCCCAGAGTTAGTTGGTTTATCCTTCTAGTACTTTAATCATAATTTAACCATACTGCTGCCATTTTTCCAGAGGAGATCAAGGGGAGTAAAGCTGCAGGTCACATCACAAAAATCAAATGAACAGGGAGGAAACAAGATTTGTTACAACCTAGTATCTACTGTGGCCACTGATTACACACTACAGAAATCTTGGAAGGCTCCCAGGAGTGGGTGATAAAAGAAAGTGTATCCTTGGGAAGCTATCAAGGGAATGAGTATTCTCAAGACTCCTGGGACCCAGATACTGAAAGACAAAATCTCCAAGCATTATTTACTTAAGGATGGATGAGGAAAACACCAGAGGGAAAGTTTCCTGAGAAAGCCTCCATATCTCTTTGGTGATTTTCTCTCTCTCCTATATGTGATATACGCTAATGATTCCCACTTTTAAATATCCTGACCAGATCTCTCTCCTCGGCTTGTTTTATGTAACTGCATAGCTCCATCTGAATGTCCATAAGCTTCAGAAACTCAAGTCAGCACTGAGCTGAAGTTACGCAGTAACCTGCTTCTCTTTCTCCTCTCCTGTCCCCTCCTGTGGTCTCTTACCACCCTCCAGTTCTCAACTCTAAGCCTCAGTCCTCTGCAGGTGTGTTGTTTATTGGGTCAGTCACCAGTATTTTTCAAACCCATTTCCTTCACTCCTTCCTCCATCTCACACTAACACAACAGTAATCTTCCTCAATTCCTAGCCTGCAATCTTGTCCCCATAGTATCCATTCACACACGGCAGCAAGCTGTCAGACATGGTTCTCCATTACTTAACCCTAATGTGTTCTCTGTAATACCTCTTCCACAACATGTTATTTAAATACCTCCTGTGTGAGTTGGGGAGGCTTTCATGGTCAAATAAGATTGGGAAACTGAATCTAAAAATAAATAGGTTCACTGCAGGATTTATCAGAAGCTTTGATGTATTGAGAGTTTTCTAAGTGGGTACATTTATACAAGTATACAGTGTTTTCCAAACTTGTTCCTGGAACCATTTCTGTAAATCTTTACAGAATTGTAAGATTGTAAAGAATTAAAAGAGAAATTGTAGGCCCAATCTTCTGTGGAACATACTTACAGAGTAGACTGCAGCCTGCGTTACTTTACCCCTGCTGATCTCTTCTGTGGTGTTAAGTTTTTAGACCATCAAATTTCACAAAATGGTGTGAAATAAGGATGACAGAGTAATGGCAAAACTGCAGTTAACTTTGGTATCAACCTATAGTCTGCAGATTCTCTGTTTTTGCATGCTATCCTGTCTTCTGGGAATTATCTCCCTCCTTTACCTTTCTTCCCACATGACTTATTTCACTAACTCTTTAACTTTGACTCCTCTTCCTTTAAGATGCAGGTCAGGTATTTACCCTCTTGAGGAAGCTTTCTCTGGCACATCAGTGTCAGATAGTAGATATTCTTTCTCTATATTCCTTGAAATAACTAGATTCCTCTATGATTTTCCAAAACTAAAACCACCAATCTACAACTCATGCTAAATTTAAAGCAGTTCACAGGACACAGAAATCAAACAAATGGATTACTGCAATTAGAGGCCTGAGAGATGAACAGCCCCAATAAGTTATTTGTCCTGTAGAATTTTCAACATTGTGATTCAACTGATTGAGTGCTTGTGGTGGTAGTTAACATGTTTTCAGTCTCTCATAATGCTGATTATCGAGTCTGTGTAGAGCCAGGTGTGATTTTGCCAAGAGCTTTTCATAATATGGTGTTACATGATTCCTGTGGCACTACATCAAGAAGTGGAAAATACCTGATTGTCCCACTTTCATATGGAATTGACTGTTAAACCAGAAGACTTAGAGCTTGCCAAAACATACTAAGATATCTTACTTTGTGGGGGGAAATACAAATTCTCCAAGGGGTAGAAAAAGAGTAGGTGTCACAGATGGTTATTGCCATCCCTTGGATGTCTTTTTTTGTTTGTTTTTAATTTTTGTTTTTAACTTAAGAGACAGTCTTGCTGTGTTGCCCAGGCTGGAGTGCAGTGGTGCAGTCATAATCTGCAGCCTCAGACTCCTGGACTCAAGCAATCCTCCTATCTCAGCCTCCTGAGTAACTGAGGCTACAGGTGGATACCATCACATCCAGATCATTTTTTAATTTTTTGTAGAGATGGGGTCTCAATCTGTTTCCCAGGCTGGTCTTAAACTCCTGGTCTTAAGCAATCCTGCTTTGGCCTCCCAAAGTGGCCAGAGCCACCATGCCTGGCCAAGAGGTCTCTTTTTTTTTTTTTTTTTGAGATGGAGTCTCACTCAGTCACCCAGGCTGGAGTGCATTGGCCCCATCTCCGCTCACTGAAACTTACTGCCTCCTGGGTTCAAGCAATTATTCTGCGTCAGCCTCCTGAATAGCTGGGACTAACTACAAGCACCAGCTACCATTCCCAGCTAATTTTTATATTTTTAGTAGAGGCAGGGTTTCACCATATTGGCCAGGATGGTCTGGAACTCCTGACCTTGTGATCCACCCACCTTGGCCTCCCAAAGTGCTGGGATTACAGGCATGAGCCACTGCACCCAGCCAGTGTTTCTCATTTTAACAGTGGAGTTATATGCATAGATGGAATCAGCTTCCTTAACCTCCAGCATCTACCAGAAAGCACAGTCCACTGTAGTATCAAATTAGAGATGAACCAGAAGCTTTTTGGAGTGTGGATAAAGTCATGTGGGATATCAAATGTAATAAAGAAGTTTGAAAAACAAATTTGTGAGACCATCTACTTCTATAAAAGAATTAAATGTAACACTCAGGACTTTAGTGTTTGATATTTATTGCATCTTCAGATGGACCTCACTATACAGGTACAGTTGAACTGCTTTAATCTCTAGGAGTGTTTCCTTCATGTTTATACCAGCTTTTCTGGTTTTGTGACTCCTCCTTCCTTCCCTCCTTGTCTATGAGCTGTCATTGATGATCTAAAACATGTCTCCCTAGAATATCTTCCATAGTCCTAATTTGCCTGAAATTTGTTGTGTCCTCAGAATCAAAACATCTTAACTGTGTTCAGTGTTTCAAACAAGAGTAACCAGTTGTATATTTGGTTCTGTATTATTTAATTCACAAGATATCAAAATTTGATTTTTTTATGCACTAAAAGGGTTTAATTTTTTTTTTTTCTATTTACATCTGAACTGGTTACCATAGTTCTAGGAGGGGGTTTCACTTTAAAAGAATAGCCCATTCTTGCAAATAAAACTATTTTAAACTATACATTTTTTTAAAAATTAGATTACACCACCACCTTCGCTGTCAGATCCACTTAAAGAGCTTTTCCGGCAGCAGGAAGTTGTAAGGATGAAACTACGTTTGCAACACAGTATTGAAAGGGTAAGAAATGTTTAAATTTACTCTTATGCTAAAAATAACTGGGTTTAGCAATAAATTAAAATGGTCTGTAATTCTTTTATTAGTGGATTTGAAAAATCTAGAACCATTTTGGGAAGTGGTTTGATTTTATCTTGGGCTTAATTAAATGAAAAAAATTTAAGCCTATTTTAGGATAGCTGCTGCCATATTATAATTCATGTTGAGTATATTTTTAATATATAAGTCTCTAATAACTTATTATTTGTTGAATTTGTAGAGCTATCACAGTAGATACCTAATGGAACATTTGGATTTTCAAGTTTTAGAATCGTTGCTTGGTACCAGCTATTTTAGGGCTAAAGGGCAAAATACTTAAAAAGGGTATGCTTATTTGTCCACATAGGTCTGCCTTAGTATCTGTCTTCCATTAGTCTTGCATGAAATTACAGGAAGAAAAGCCTATTCTAGCTATTTATAGAAAGTATAAGTCATTTTGCTTGGATTTACAAAACTATAGCATGTTCTTAATCTTTGGGGAGGGTTGAGGGCCTCCAAAAATGTGATGTAAGCTATGATCCTTCTTCACAGAAATATATATGTACTCACATGTAAACAAAATTTATATATAATTTCTTTGATTCAAACATTATTGATTTTCCTGGCACAGGTTCTTAACTCTTTTCCTACTGTGGGCTTCTGTAACAGTCTAGGAAATTTGAAATCTCTTCTCAGAATGTTTTTAAATAAAAAAAATTCATAGGATTACAAAGAGAAGTAACAAGCACAATACAGAGTTTAAAACACTGCATTACTCATTGACAATGAACAACTTGTTAGCAATAAGAAGTTAGGTAATACAATATACATCAATAGCTATTTCAACTATCAGACATTTGAAGCCACCTTCAACGTATATATTCATCTGTGCACTTCTCCAGGTTACAGAAATCCTTGCCACCTTACAGTTAAAAATTCTTATTTGAATTGTGTAATTTGTAGAACTTTAACAAATAATAGAATGATACCACCTTCCATTTATTTAACCAATAAATAATTTAGAATTGCAGAATACTCAAGGGTAACTTTAAATGTCTAACTAATATGAGAACAAACAACTTTATATTGTGGTGACTCAGTAACTACTAGCTGCAGAATTGCTTGATCTTGGCCAGCTATGTCATACACGTATCTCTACACAGAACTGCAGTTAGGTGTCATATAGCAGCAGATCTCATACCTGCAGGGATTTTGTTTTGTTCTGTTTTTTTGAGACAGTCTCACTCTGTCACCCAGGCTGGCAGTGGTGTGATCATCACAGCTCACCACAGCCTCAACCTTCAAGGCTCAAGCCATCCTTTTGCCTCAGCTTCCCAAATAGCTGGGACTACAAGTATGTACCACCACACCCAGCTAATTTTTTAAAAATTTTTTTGTAGAGATGGGGTCCCAGTGTGTTGCCCAGGCTGGTCTCCAACTCCCGGGCTTAAGCCATCCTCCTGCCTTAGCCTCCCAAAGTGCTGGGATTATAGGTATGAGCCATTGTGGCCAGCCACTGCTGGAATTTTGAAGAGGAAATTAGTATAAAAATTTGAGGGGATAGCATTACAACTATAATACATTAATAAATTGGAAATATTTGTGATTCTATGGATGACAAAGCTGCAGATACTTCTGATTTTACTGTGGTTTGTGGACATATTCATGATTGAAAGAAATGCCAGTTGGAGGTTAGTGAAAATAAAGACATAAGTTTTTTCCTATCCAAGTTCCCAGACTACTGTATCCCCATTCTATCTTCAGACTTCTTGAGGGTGTAAGGACCTCAAGTTAAGAACTATGCTGTTCAAGGGTCATTTTCCCCACAGAAAATTGTAATATTTGAAACTATACTAAATGAACAAAGTTTACAGCCAAAGTCCCTGGCCCATTTCCTCAGAATTTCCCAATGCCCCACTCTGCCACCCCAGAAACTAAGAGGAAGCAAGACATTGGCACACCCGTAACCTATCCTTAGAAGACACTGCTTGAGAAGCTCTGCTCAAGGGGTTTAAAAACACAAAATTAAGAATGCTGATAGAAAGTATACTATTTAGATCATCAGTTAAGCAACATTTACAATAAAATGACATCTCAGTTATTTTAGGAGAGAGACTTTAGAAAATGTATTTCTCAGTTGGGTGCAGTGGCTTATGCCTGTTATTCCAGCACTTTGGGAGGCCGAGGCAGGTGGATCGCCTGAGGTCAGGAGTTCGAGACCAGCCTGCCCAACATGATGAAACTGCATCTCTTCTAAAAATACAAAACTTAGTTAGGTGTGGTGGCGGGCATCTGTAATCCCAGCTTCTGGAGAGGCTGAGGCAGGAGAATCACTTGAACCCGGGAGGCGGAGGTTGCGGTGAACTGAGATTGTGCCTGGCAACTCCAGCCTGGGCAACAAGAGTGAAACTCTGTCTCAAAAAAAAAAAAGTTAATTAAGACCATGTTTTTTTGTGTTTTTTTCATGAATTTAATAAAAATCTGCAATAATACATATTTGGATGTAATGTGGCCTGTATTCTCCATGAGGAGAAGAGCAAAGTTCCTGGGAGTTGAGAAAGGAATGGGAAACATGGTGAGGAGGAGAAGGCTAGGCACATTCTTTGTATTCTCCCAGCCCAGCCTTATAGTCAGGGCCAATAAAATCATATATGTTATGAAACTGGTGAGTTCCTGGAGTCATTTTACCTCTCTGTGAAGTTCTAGCTAGCCACAGGTCCCAGGGTTATCCCCATTGATATTTAGGTAAAAGAATATAGTTAGGACCAGACGGCACAAGTCTGTAGCCAAGATTAGGATGGGTTGGGATCTGCAGCTGGCCCTCAGGAATTCTCAGTCTGCTAAATGCAGATTGCCTAGATCATTTTATTAACCTTGTGGTAGAATGACTCTGCATATTACATAAGTAGTTTTGGGCCCCACTTAATACATTAAGGAAGGATTTTATTGTGATGTCAGAGGTTTACAAGTAGTTGATGTCAGCGTACAGTATGTTTTTTCTATAAAAATACTCATTTATAGGCCAAGTACGGTGGCTCATGCCTGTAATCCCAGCACTCGGCTGAGAAGGGCAGATCACCTGAGGTTGGGAGTTTGAGACCAGCCTGACTAACATGGAGAAATCCTGCCTCTGCCAAAAATACAAAATTAGCTGGGCGTGGTGGCGCATGCCTGTAATCCCAGCTACTCGGGAGGCTGAGGCAGGAGAATCGATTGAACCTGGGAGCCAAGATTGCACCATTGCACTCCAGCCTGAGCAACAAGAGCAAAACTCCATCCTAAAAAAGTAAAAAAAAAAAAATTCATTATAAAAAGCTGCCAACACAGGGGATACCACTTCAGACCGAGTAGAATGGCTATTATCAAAAAGACAGATATAACAAGTGCTGGCAAGGTTCTGAAGAAATTAGCACTCTTCCATTGCTGATAGGAATGTGAAATGATACAGCTACTGTGGAACACAGCTTGGTGGTTCCTCAACAAGTTAAACAGAGTCACCAGATGACCCAGCAGTTCCAATCCTACTTATTTACTGAAGAGAAATGAAAACATGCATCCAAACAGAAACCTGAGTGTGAACATTTATAGCAGCATTTTTAAAATATTATCCCAAAATGTAAATAGCCTGTAGGAGAGGCAAAAGTTACCTCTACCATCTTAAGGTCTCCAGCTGGGCCTTAAGGTCACCTCAGCCTCCCAAAGCATTGAGATTACAGGTGAAAGCCACCATGCCTGGCCAGCATATTTTAAATGACTTTTATCTTACTTCATCTGACATAGACAGATTAACAGGAGAAAAATGTGCAGATTTATTTAATGTAAGATTTATGTCACATGGGAACCAAAGAAGTGACAAGACCTAAGTGATTTTATACTAGGTTGAAGAAGGAAAGGCAGCTGTGGAAAAGTAAAATCTACTGGGAGGCTAAAGGAAGGTGAAACTTACCTTAACAAGGTCTGTTTGTACAGAATTCTCTTGGCCTTGAGTCCCTGTCTCTGGTCATAAGAATGTTTCTTTCCTCCTGGTTTCAGGAGATCATCTTTCCCATGGAAGTTTTATCTCTGGCTTTCAGGTAGAAAAGGGGAGGTCAGAACACTCTTGAGCCTGCAGACTTCAAACTGCCTTTAGCTCAGAATAATCCTTACGCCAAAGTGGCATATTTTGGGGTAGGATTTTCTGCTACCCTTCAAGCCCAAATGTCTATCAATTGATGAATAAAATGTGGTATATATTCATGCAGTGGAATATTATTCAGCCATAAAATGAAATAAAGTACTGATGCATGCTACAACATGAACCTTGAAATCATTATGCCAAGTGAAAGAAGCCAATCACAAAAGACCACATATTGCATAGTGTATGATTCCATTTATATTAAATGTTCAAGATAGCTAATTCATAGAGACAAAAGTTAGATTAGTGGTTACTAGGAGAATAGAGGAACAGGGTGTGGGGAATAAGGAATCTGCTAATGAACAGCAGGTTTCTTTTTGGAGTGATGGAAATGTTCTGGTGATGATTGAACATCTTGGTAAATACACTAAAAGCCACTATTTTATGCCACCATGCTTTACAAAATAATTTTAAAATAGAGAAACTGCTGGTTTTGGAGAGAGAGGATATATTTCTACTTTTGGAATACTGGGAGTTCTCAAATTTCTCAAGCCTACTCTGAAGAAAAGACTACTCTGAAATTTGGGTTCCTTAACTTATTTGTTTGTTGTAGAGATGGGGTTTTGCCACTACACCTGGCCTAACAAATTATTTTTGAATAAGATAAAATCGCTTAAAATATGCTGGTGAGGTGTGTGGCTCACACCTGTAATTCCAGCACTTTGGGAGGCCACAAAAGGAGGGTCACTTGCGCCCAGGAGATGGTGACCAGCCTGGGCAACATAGTGAATCCCCGTTTCTAAAAAAATTTTATAATAATTAGCCACGTGTAGTGGTCCACACCTATAGTACTAGATACTCAGGAGGCTGAGGTGGAAAGATTGCTTGAGCCCAGGATATCGAGATTACAGTGAGCTATGATCATGTCTGCAAACCATCCTGGGTGACAGAGTAAGAAGAGGCCAGGCATAGTGGTTCATGTCTATAATCTGAGAACTTTGAGAGGGTGAGGTGGGAGAATCACTTGAGCCCAGAATTTTGAAACCAGTCTGGGCAATGTAGTGAGACTTTTTTTTTTAATAATTTTTTTTTTTTAATTAGCAGGGCCTAGTGGCACACACCTGTAGTCCCAGCTACTCAGGAGGCTGAGGTGGGAGGATCACTTTAGCACAGGAGGTCAAGGCTGCAGTGAGCTTTGATCACACCACTGCACTACAGCCTAGGTGAGAGAGTGAGATTGTTCTTTAAAAAAAGTTATTGAATTTATGATTTTTTAATTCTTTATTCAACTAGGAAAAACTCATTGTATCCAATGAACAAGAAGTTCTGCGAGTTCATTACAGAGCTGCAAGAACATTGGCAAATCAAACACTGCCATTTAGTGCTTGTACTGTTTTGCTGGATGCTGAAGTATACAATGTACCCTTGGACTCTCAGGTAAAATGTTTGTTGATACATTTAGAAAGGATGCTTTCAAAAAATGCAACTTGGCTATTTTTAGGATCTGTTTCCAAAGAAGAAACTTGAATTCAACAATCATGAAAGGTCAAAGAAGAAAAACAACTCTTAAGCCAGAGTACTTCCAGATCAGCTGGTCCTCCATTTTCTAAAGCACTCTAAACATTAGATTTTTATTATAAAAGCAGATGATCACAAAACACCTGTGTGTTTAGGATAGTGCCCATACAGGTATATGTCATTTGTTTCTAAAGTGAATATTTATACCTTTAGTTTTGACCTCCAGGCAGTTGTACACTGAAAAATAGTGCAGCTAGATGGTACCTCTAGGTTGTGACAGTCCTAAAAAGAGAGCGAGGCTCCTGGTTTGACCATGAATGTTGGTGGAATACATGAATTGTGAAAGACTGAAGAAATATCTTCAATAAAATTTACTGTCACATATGAATTACATGAACTCAGACCATCCATATTAGTTTTTAGACTTTTTTAATGGCTTATAAACCAGAGTGAATTCATTGGTTAGAAAAGAAAGAATTTAATGATTAAAAATTTAAAAATAACCAGTGAAGGATTACCACCTGAAAACAGAGTAGGAAATGTTGTTTTAAAGGAAATTAGCTAGTAATGCAAAGGATAATAGTGTCTATCACAGAAAAATATCTTTAGACTCTTTTGAGCTTTATTTTTTTCATCTATAAAAAAATCAAGATTGAACTAGATCGGTAGGTTTCAAACTTAAGGCACCAGATGGGCTTGGTAGCTCATGCCTGGATTCCCAGCACTTTGGGAGGCCAAAGTGGGCAATCGCTTGAGCTCACGAGTTCAAGACCAGCCTAGGAAACATGGTGAAATCCTATTTCTACCAAAAAAATACAAAAATTAACTGGGTGTATTAGGGCACACCTGTAGTCCCAGCCATGAGGAAGGCTGAGGTAGGAGGATCTCTTGAGCCTGGGAGGTTGAGGCTGTAGTGAGCTGTGATTGCACCACTGCACTCGAGCCTGGTCAATAGAGTGAGACCCTGCCTAAAAAAAAAAAAAAAAAAAAAAAACCCTAAAGCACTAACTGTTTTTCAAATGAAAGTGTTCAGAGATATCTGAGGATGCTATTAACATTGGATCTCTTCAGAAAGAACTGTATGACTAAGGAAATAGGCACTGGAGAGGCCACTGAGGGACTTTCTAGAACTTTTATACTTAAAGATGTTTAAAGGGAAGAATGAATGGTTTTTAATAACTGCAATTAACAGTTTAACCATGTTCTTATAGGCTGGACTAGACACTGTGATATCTTGAGGTCTTTTAAAGTTTTGAACAGTTAGAGAGTAATGAGTTTTAGAGCAATGTAAATTGGGGTTGATAATCCAGTTACAAGGAAAAGTCTCTTGGAGATTTCTAGTTCAGAATGGTTGAGTAAACATACACACCTGTTGATTTCTTCTTTCTCCCAAAACTCAATGAAATGACAAAAGATGGCCAGGTAAGGTTGCTCACACCTGTAATCCCAGCACTTTGGGAGGCCAAGGCAGGTGGATCTTGAGGTCAGGAGTTCAAGACCAGCCTGACCAACATGGAAAAACCCCATCTCTACTAAAAATACAAAATTAGCCAGGCATGGTGGCATGCACCTTTAATCCCAGCTTCTCAGGAGGCTGAGGCAGGAGAATCATTTGAACCCAGGAGTCAGACGTTGCAGTGAACCAGATTGTGTCACTGTACTCTAGCCTGGGCAACAGAGTAAGACTCCATTTCAAAAACAAAGAAATGGCAAAAGACATAAAAGTAAAAAGCTTGGCATGGTGGTGTATCCCTGTAGCCCTAGCTACTCCAGGTGGCTAAGGTGGAAGGATCAATTAAGCCAAGGAGTTCCGGCCTGCATTGAGTTATGATAGCACGCCAGCCTGGATGACAGAGCAACATTCTGTTTCTTAAAAATAAAAAATTCATAGCAGAGCTGGAAATTGAGGTGGGAAACTATTAGACAAAAACATTAAGAAATTTCTGATGACATTTAAAATAGATGAAAACATATTGGTAATCAAATGCAGCAGAGGTGAGGAAAGCCCATTTCATATAGGTTAAAAAGAGAATTTAAAAAATAAATGCATTTTCCTAGAAAAGTAGAAATTTTCAATTGTAAAGGGATTTTGATAACTTGAATAATTCATTTTACCCTGCCCCAGATTTTCTTAGTGATCCAGACTACCTGACTTTAAGCTTGTTAAGATCCTTTCGTGGATCATAAGCCTGATGACTGAGTTTTCACACTGTGTGAGACAGGCCTCTCTCAAACCTTGTTGCAGTGAGTACACATTACCCATCTGACATGGGGGGAGAAATTCAGCTTGACGAGATACCAAAATGTGAGGCGTATTCTCTTGACATAGAGAAACTTATCCTAAAAACATTTCTGCATTTTTGGTGACGTTCTTAAATATGGAACTGTTACCCATCCTTTTACAGCTGTCTTTAGAGTACAAGGTCTCAAGTAGCAGGCATATTTCCTATGGGAGTAGCCTTTGAAAGAACTAAAGGGAAAAAAGTTTACTTTTCTTTGGGTGGGGCTTAGATTGTCCATTAGTCCACACTCTTACTGTTACTTCTTCCTTTTCAAAGTAAACTTATGTGAGCACCTGAAATGTAGTAAAGAAAAATAAATAAACTTGTAATATTTAAAAGTCAACAATAAAATGTTAAATAGTCAAAACATCTAGCTTGGGGCCCAAGGAAGAAATTATAGCTGCTAAAAATGTGAGTAGTGTGAGTATGAGGGCTACCTGCTACCTGGATGTCACTTTGATGCACTGGAAGTAGTAGTAATTAGAGGGAGTGAGTGCTGCATTCAGTGCTTCCTTTGCGCCTAAGCATTATGGTGAGGATTTTATAGACACTTTTCATTCTCAAAACAAGCTGAAGAGGTACCATTACCACATTTTACAGAGTATAAAACTGAGACTGTATAATTAGTTCAAGATTACATAGTAAGGTACAGAGCTGAAATTTGAATATAGCCTAAGTTAATTCCAAAAGTGGTATTCTTTTTTTTTTGAAATGAAGTTTTGCTCTTGTTGCCCAAGCTGGAGTGCAACAGTGCAATCTTGACTCACCACAACCTCCGCCTCCCGGGTTCAAGTGATTCTCCTGCCTCAGCCTCCTGAGTAGCTGGAATTACAGGCATGCGTCACCACACCCAGCTAATTTGTTGTATTTTTAGTAGAGATGGGGTTTCTCTATGTTGGTCAGGCTGGTCTCAAACTACTAACCTCAGGTGATCTGCCTGCCTCAGCCTCCCAAAGTACTGGGATTACAGGCATGAGCCACCAAACCCGGCCTCATAACTGGTATTCTTAAGTGTTGATAAAGAATTTCTTCATGAGCACCCTAGAGACTGGTCCTGGAAAAAATGTTGGGCTCTAAAGCAGCTCTTTCCCACATGGATACTTTTTGTCCCTACAGATAGTAAACTTTAACATTAAAATTGTCTGTTATTGATTATACAGTAATAATGTCACAGGCACAGTACTTAATTAACATGCCTTTTTGAGGAACATCTTTGATTTAGAACAATAGGAATCTACTGTTAATAACTAAATCTACCATCCCAAGAATTCTAATAACCAATCTGCCTACACAATATGAAAATAAAAGTTTTACCAAACTTCAATAGTATTCCATTTATATATTTTTCAAAATATATTTTAATCATTACTAAGGGGCATATGCCATAAAAATATTATAATGACATAGATTTAAAGTGGTTTATTGTATTTTATAATATTCAACTTTTCCCTTTTAGTCTGATGACAGTAAAACTTCTGTGAGGGATCGCTTTAATGCAAGACAGTTCATGTCTTGGTTACAAGATGTGGATGATAAATTTGACAAATTGAAGGTACGTATGTTTAGAAGTCAGTTTAAATGAATGCTTCCTCCTTAAAAAAAATCTTTACAGCTTTATTGGGGAGAAATAATTAGGAGGAGAAAGAGTGGTTAGTCATGAATCCTCACACTGGGCCACAATTGGAAAGATAAAGACCACAAGTCCATTTTAAGGACTAATATAGTATGAAAGAGAAAACTGCCACAGAAAATGCAGTTTCCAGTATGGGTCTTCATGCTTATAATCCAGTATACCTGTCAGGTTATAGCTTGAACATATGAAAGAATAGGAGAATGGTAAGAAAAGGAATATAATTTTCAAATAATCTATAAAGCAAATCATTTGATTTGAAATTTTGAAATAATATTTTCAAATTAAAATCTGTAACAGCAGTCCCAACCTTTTTGGCACCAGGGACCAGTTTTGTGGGAGGATGGTTTGGGGATGAAACTTCCACTTCAGATCATCAGGCATTAGATTCTCATAAGGAGCATGCAACCTAGATCCCTTGCATGCGCAGTTCACAATAGGGTTTGAGCTCCTAGGAGGATCTAATGCTGTAGTTGATCTAACAGGAGGCTGAGCTGAGATGGTAATGCTCCTGCGGTGTGGCACAGTTCCTAACAGGTCATGGAGCAGTACCAGTCTGGGGGTTGGGGACCCTTGCTGTATAAGATGAAAATGAAATTGCAGACCCAGAAATAGTATGTGTGTACAAACAGGGTAAAACAGAAATGGGCTTGTAGGCTGGTGCGGCAGTTCATGACTAATCCCAGCACTTTGGGAGGCCGAGATAGGCAGATCACCTGAGGTTAGGAGTTTGAGACCAGCTTGGCCAACATGGTGAAGCCCCATCTCTACCAAAAATTTAAAAATTAGCCAGGCCTGGTGGCACATACTTGTAGTCTCAGCTGCTTGGGAGGCTGAAGCAAGGGAATTGCTTGAATTCAGGAGGCAGAGGTTGCAGTGAGCCCAGATCTCGCCACTGCACTCCAGCCTGGGAGACAGCAAGACTGTGTCTCAAAAAAGAAAAGAAAAGAAATGGGTTTGTAATTCAAATGCTTTTTATGATCCTGATATGTCCATCTTAGTCCCTAAAGAAACTGGATGAGATTATTTTATTTATTTATTTTTTTCTTTGAGACGGAGTTTCGCTCTTGTTACCCAGGCTGGAGTGCAATGGCATATCTCAACTCACTGCAACCTCCGCCTCCTGGGTTCAGGCAATTCTCCTGCCTCAGCCTCCTGAGTAGCTGGGATTACAGGCACACGCCACCATGCCCAGCTAATTTTTTGTATTTTCAGTAGAGACGGGGTTTCACCATGTTGACCAGGATGGTCTCGATCTCTTGACCTCGGGATCCACCCACCTCAGCCTCCCAAAGTGCTGGGATTACAGGCATGAGCCACCGCGCCCAGCCGAGATTAATTTTTAAACAAAGCAAAGTTAGCAGAATAATCAAGTAACTCTTCTCTTCTTTTAAATAGACCTGTCTTTTAATGAGGCAGCAACATGAAGCTGCGGCTTTAAATGCTGTCCAGAGATTAGAATGGCAGCTCAAACTCCAGGAACTTGATCCTGCCACCTATAAATCTATCAGCATTTATGAAATCCAGGAGTTTTATGTTCCCCTTGTTGATGTTAACGACGACTTTGAATTGACTCCTATATAGCAGTCAGTACTTCCTGATGGTATTATCTTAACTGGTGAACTGGTGATGCTTAAGCGTTATACTGTGGAATACTGCCTTTTGACAAAAATACTCATGCCTTTACAATTGTTAGTAAAGTTCAATTATAGTTGGTTATGTAGTAAACACTGTCATTTTATAAAAAATGAGAATTATTTTGGATCTTAGATCCAAACACAGTTTCTAATAGAAAACAATTATTTATATTGGAAAAGGTAACTATTGCATTACAGCATGTTGGCAGACTGGTAGATTTAAAAAGTTGAGAATCTGCTAACAGCGCTGGAAGTTGTTAGCACTCTTGAGTAATGAGATAACCACTAGTGTTCAAATCTCTTTCAGGTTTTAATAAAAATACATCAATAAACTAAAAGGGTCAGTTCCTACCAAATAGTTTCTAATGTGGGAGAAAAACTTGGCACAAAATTTCTTCAGTTTATTATATCTGTAAATTATTGTACAGTTTTCTTTTTGAAAAGTTTTAATATTGTCTTCCTTTTTAATAACTTATTTTATACATATTGTGCAGATGTAAATCTTGTAATTAATGGTCAAACTGTATACAGAGGGATTGGTAGTCAAAACATGTACAAAGAAATAACTGTAAAACCGTTTTGTCTCCTGTTTTATTGGACCAAAGTTGTGGTTTGTATGGGGTGTAGTAGTAGTGTGTACAGGTAGAAAACTTTTAAATACGGCATGCATGTGTTTCAGTTAGCTTGTTTTCATCACCATAACTGCAGAGATTGTGGCTTAGTTGTATTGCATGCTTCCTATCATTTAACTCTCCATAATTGATGCCTGCAACAGTGTAAGGCGCTTCATACTAGTTTCCTCTAGTAGACTTGTGACATACTGTGTTTAGACTTAGTCATAAAAAAAACTTAGCTCTTTTTTCATCTCACTGTAGAGCCTATTTCCCCAGGAAAAAAAAATGCCTTTGAATGAAAATTCTGAAATTATAAATGTCTATTTTAATATTCAACTATGAAAGAATCTGTGAATATATGTAAATATGTTTAATAAATTTTATTGGTCATGTTAAATCATTGTAAAACTTTTTTACATTGCTTAATGTTTTAAGCTTAATAGCCTTTGCACTTTTGAAATAAAAACTGAGTATGCAAATCAAAAAAAGATATTTGGTAGTCAAAATAAGTAAAAGAAATATAGGAATATTCCAGTCAATCTCTGAAATGTTTATGAAAAACAGGTTAATATGTTGTTTTTTTCCTTGTGTCAAGATACAAAATATAATTTGCAAAATTTTATAATTAAAAACTTGGTATGCTGTTTTATAATAAATTAGCAATATACTTAGGAAAAAATCCAGTTTCTCCTATAACATGATGTAAATTAAATATTCAGGAATATTTCAGGTCTGAAATCTGCTGCTGTACTTGTTAGACATTTTTGAAAGGAAAATTAGGTTACTGCACATATGAGGTAAAATTTTGAAACTTTCCACAATACTTTCTTGAATTATGATACTGAATGTTTTCTATTCCCATAGAGCAAAGTGAGCAAATATGTGAGGAATGAAGTGATCTAGGACAAGCTGGAAATTCCAGCTAGTGGAAGAGAATGTAAATGTTTTTGAGTGCAAAGGTACATATTAAGCTTAGGGATTTTTGAATTTTTACGTCAATTCATATTTTAATTCTTACTGTACTTGGCATGCGCAATAAAGCAGCACATGTAAAAAAAAATACATAGTGCAAGGACTTTATTATAAAGGTTGGATTTAGTTTTCTTTAGAAATTTAGGCGAGAGATTTTGGCCTTTTTTATTGGATAAATGGGGCCAGAAAGGCAGGGTAGATTTTGAAGCACTGGTTCTGTTGAAGTTAAGTTTATTAAGCCTGGGAACATTAAAAGCTAATTTATAAAAGCAATACTTTTTAATATGAATACTTACTGCAAAGTTTGTTTATACTTTCACCTAAAAAGGAAATTTGATGGGTTAGTGTGGCAAATTGTAAAAATCAAAAGCCAAATGATTGAGCTTTGAAGTTACAGAAAATCAGAGAGGATTAAGTTTATAGAGCATTTTGTTCTGATGGTTGCTGGGAAATAGTTGGGCCAAACAGAACAAGCTTCAGAAGAGAAAAGCCAGCAAGCAGGAATCTGGTGAATTTTAGTCATCCAGCTTTTTAGTCTTAACCACAGTTCTCACGCTCTTCAGTAGTACCTCAAAAAGCTGGAGCCTCTCTGCCATGATGATGCTTCTACAGATTTCCTTTGTAAAGTGACTCAAAGCTAATGATAGCTTAAAAGAAAAATTAATGCCTTCTCATTGGAAATGTATACTCAAATAAGTTGTTAAGGGCTTTTGGTATTAAAGATATTCTGAAGCTCTAAAATGCTAGGAAAAAACTTGGAATGCAGTATATGCCTCAAAAGGTTTTGGATTCAGAAAGAAAAATAAAGGATGATTAGTTTAATCAATGATTCCTTTTAAATTATTCAAATATCATGAACAAGATACTAAATTGTACCTTTTGGATTTGTATTTCTTTAAAATTTGTTCTAAATATCTGTTTAATAAATGACTAGTTGATATTTGTGCATGTTATTTAATAAAGAGTTATATTTTTATAGAAAAAAATAAGAGTGAAATGTGTGCTAAATGTTTTTTACTTAATTTTACTTGGGCAGCTAGCAAAATTGCAGAAATGTTCATCCTGGGAAAAGAAAAGGCCTTTCGAGAATTAGCCTTTCAAGTTCAAATCTGTTTAGTAATGAGAAGTCTCACAAATGAATTTTTAGGTATACCGTAGACATTTTAGGTTCTGGACCATCTCAGTAAAGCAAATACTACAATAAAGCAAGTCAAGAGGAATTTTTTTGGTTTCACAGTGCATATAAAAGTTTTGTTTGCACTATAGTCTATTATGCAATAGCATTATGTCTAAAAATATGTATATAAGTTTAAAAACATTTCATTGCTAAAAAATGGTAATGAAGTCAGCACATGCCATTGGAAAAAGAACACCAATAAACTTGCTTGATGCAGGGTTGCCACAAACCTTCAATTTGTAAAAACCTGCAGTAGATACAAAACACAATAAAGCAAAGCACAATAAAACAGGATTGCCTTTATTAGACATGCTGCAAACTTCATAATTGGAAACATCGCAAAGACTCCATGAAGCTAATTTGAATGAGACTTAACAATAAGACAGTTATTCTAGAAATTGAATGCAGAGCTAAATACATACTTTTCCAAAAGACAGTATTTTTTATTGTCTCTGGTATATTAAAACATAAAAACCCAAACTTTTATATAGAAGAAATTGACTGTAAAACTCAGTGTTTAAAGGAAGCATTTTCACATTTTTTAAAATTCTTTTTAAGTATTTAGGGCAAAATTATTCTTAGAAGAGATAGTAATGGAAAAGCTTGCATGAAGTTTAGTGGTTAAGATACCTTGTAATTTATTCTCTCTCTCTTTTTATTTTTTATTGTTTTATTTTATTTTTGAGGCAGTCTCTCTCTCTTGCCCAGGCTGGAATGCAGTGGCACCATCTCAGCTCACTACAACCTCCGCCTCCCAGGTTCAAGCAATTCTCCTGCCTCAGCCTCCCAAATAGCTGAGGCTACCACCATGCCCATCTAATTTTTTAATTTTTCATAAAGATGGGGTTTCACTACATTGGCCAGGCTGGTCTCAAACTCCTGACCTGGTGATCCGCCTTCCTTGGCTTCCCAAAGTGCTAGGATTACAGATGTGAGCCACCACACCCGGCCCTTGTAATTCATTCTTTAAGTGACTTCTTGGGAGTCACCTTTTACCTAAAATGAAGTTTTCTTTTAAGCTTCCACAGAAATAGTCACCCAAAGTATTTCCAGTCAATAAAATCAGAATTCCTAGAAGAAACTGAAGCAAATTAATTCCGTTAGTCAAAATGGCTTTTAAAAATGTGTTAACATAAAAACAGCAAAAAGTACAATTTTTAAAAACTGGGTTTTTCCAGTGGTTAAATGCTATCTAGTGACTGCAAACAATACAGTTTTTTTGTACATGGACAGTATCTTCATAAAAGAAAATAGGCCAATATGGTGAAACCCTTTCTCTACTAAAAATACAAAAATTAGCTGGGCATGATGATGCCCACTTGTCCTCCTAGCTATTTGGGAGGTTGAGGCAGGAGAATTGCTTAACCTTGGGAGGCAGAGGTTGCTATGAGCCGAGGTCATGCCACTGTACTCCAGCCTGGGCAACAGAGAGACTCCATCTTAGAAAAAAAAAAAAAAAAAGTATCTAAAATTTTTTTTTTCTCAGGGTCCTAACTCTGTTGTCTAGGGTGGGGTGCAGTGGCGCAATCATGGCTCACTGTGGCCTGGACTCCTGGGCTCAGCTGATTCTCCTATCTTAAGCCTCCCAGGTAGCTGGGACTACAAGCATGCACCACCACACCCAGCTAATTTTTTTTTTTTTTTTTGAGACGGAGCTTTACTCTTGTTACCCAGGCTGGAGTGCAATGGCGCAATCTTGGCTCACCGCAACCTCCGTCTCCTGGGTTCAGGCAATTCTCCTGCCTCAGCCTCCCGAGTAGCTGGGATTACAGGCGTGCGCCACCATGCCCAGCTAATTTTTCGTATTTTTAGTAGAGACGGGGTTTCACCATGTGGCTCTTGACCTCGTGATTGTAGAGATGGGGTTTTGCCACACTGCTCCGGCTGATCTCAAACTCTTGGGTTCAAGTGATCCTCCCACATTGGCCTCCCAAAGTGCTGGGATTACAGGCATGAGCCACCGCACCCAGTCTAAAATTTTTAACCTAAAGATGAATGCAGTCTTTGCATGGGGATTCAGTTTTATTAGGTCCATTAGTTACTCGAGAACTGAACAAAAACATGAAGTATGTTTATTAATTTTGTTGAGTTTTTAAATGCATTTTTTAAAAATTCCATTCCATATCCACGTATCTGACTAGTACTAAATATAAAGCTCTTAGGTAGCCATGTTTTTTTTCTCACCTTTTTTTTTTCCGAGACGGAGTTTCGCTCTTGTTACCCAGGCTGGAGTGCAATGGCACGATCTCGGCTCATCACAACCTCCGCCTCCTGGGTTGAGGCAATTCTCCTGCCTCAGCCTCCTGAGTAGCTGGGATTATAGGCACGCGCCACCATGACCAGCTATTTTTTTTGTATTTTTAGTAGAGACGGGATTTCACCATGTCGACCAGAATGGTCTCAATCTCTTGAACTCGTGATCCACCGGCGTCGGCCTCCCAAAGTGCTGGGATTACAGGCTTGAGCCACCGCTCCCGGCCTTTTTTTCTCACCTTTTAAAAAAAGTGTAGCATGTGTTTACAAGTTTAAAAGGCACCACCTGTGCACCCATCACTCAGCTTAATATTTATCAGTAACTTTCTCAGGTTTTTTTTTTCCATTGTTTGTTATAGTCTATATTCAATAAAATTTCCCAGATCTTAATTCTAGGCAGTTTGATAAATCCTGACAAAGGTAAACACTCACATTACCATCATGTAAATTAAGATATTGTAAAACATTTCCACTACCCTAGAAAGTTCATTCATGCCGCTCTCCAGTCACTACCCCTGAGGCAGCCACTGTGCTGATTTCCTATCACCATATGTTAGTTGTACCTAGCCTTGAACTTCATAGAAATAGAACCATACATACTCTCTTGTGTCTGCCTTGTTTCTCTCAAAAGGTTTCGAAGTTCATCCATGTTGCACCTATCAGTAATGAGTCGTAGCTTATTAATGAGTAGTAGTATATTGTACAAATTTGTTTATTCATTCTCTTGTTGGTATTTGGATTGTTTCCAGTCTGGGACTATTGTTAATAAACCTGTGAATATGCAAGCCTATTTTGTGGACATATTTTTTCATTTCTCTTCGGTACATACCATGGTGTACAAATACTAGGTTATAGAGTAAGTGCATGTTTCACTTTATTAGAAAATGACAGTTCTCAACCAGGAGCAGTTGCTTATGCCTATAATCCCAGCAGTTAGGGAGGCTGAGGCAGGCGGATCACTTGAGGTCAGGGGTTCAAGACCAGCCTGATCATCATGGGGAAACACTGTCTCTACAATACAAAAATTAGCTGGGCGTGGTGGTGCACAACTATAATCCCAGCTACTTTGGAGGCTGAGGCACGAGAATCACTTGAACCTGGGAGGCAGAGGTTGCCGTGAACCAAGATCATGACACTGCACTGCACTCCAGCCTGGGCAACAGAGCGAGACTCCATCTCAGAAAAAAAAGAAACTGACAGTTTTCAATAGCAGTTGTATCATTTTATATCCCTACCAGCAACCAGTAGGAGGCCCAGTTACTCTGAATCCCCATCAATATTTGGTACTGTCAGTCTTCAATTTCAGCCATTCTAGATGTGTAGTGGTATCTTGTGGTTTTAATTTCTATTTCTCTGGTAATTAAAGAGATTGAGACTACCTTTTTTCATATGCTTATTGGCCATTTTTACATCTTATTTTGTGAAATGTCCTATTTTACATATTTTTAATTGGGTTGTCTTATTCATTTGTAGGAATCCTTTAAAAGCATAGAAGTCCTTTGTCAGGTACAGTCGTCATGAATGTTTTTATGCCGTGTGTGGCTTGCCTTTAACATTTCTCTTAGCCACTAGTTTCCTCACCTTTTAATAATGCCTTCACACTGATATGATTGTCCCAGAGTATTTAGTGGATGTCTTAATAGTCACCCCAAAAACCAATCTTTTCCCTTTAATAACTAGCAATCATGAGGCCATGTGGGTACACAATACCTGTAGGTCTCTCTCTTTTTTTTTTTTGAGACGTGGTTTCGCTCTTGTTACCCAGGCTGGAGTGCAATGGCGCAATCTCGGCTCACCGCAACCTCCGCCTCCTGGGTTCAGGCAACTCTCCTGCCTCAGCCTCCTGAGTAGCTGGGATTACAGGCACGTGCCACCATGCCCAGCTAATTTTTTGTATCTTTAGTAGAGACGGGGTTTCACCATGTTGACCTGGATGGTCTCAATCTCTTCACCTCATGATCGACCCGCCTTGGCCTCCCAAAGTGCTGGGATTACAGGCTTGAGCCACCGCACCCGGCCCTTGTAGGTCTCTTAGGAGCACAACATCTAATCATTTTAAAGCCATTTATATTTTACTATAAGAAGTTTTCAAAACCCCCTTCTGAATTAACCTATGTCTTGACACCTTTTCCATATTGTCTGGATTGTAGAACAAGTCTTTAAGTCATTCTTACAAACACACAGTATTATCATGGAAAAGCCCAATATCATAAGTGAACTTTAGGAAGGATATGAATTGTCTAAACCAGATGTGGGCAAGTTTCCAGCCCTCTTGCTGCTTCACATACATCTATACATGGAATCAACCAGCACACACTTAGGACTCCTAAGTCCGTATCACTTGAGGATTTACACAGCATTTACTTAGGTCACCAGTTCTCAAACATTTTGGTCATAATACCCTCTGGACTCCTAAAGTACTTTGAGAGCTTTTGTCTCTGTGAGATATCTTTATATTTACTATATTAAAGATTAAAACAATTTTAAAGAATATTAATCAGTACACCCATTTTGTGTTTATTTTTATAAATATATTTCCAAAACTAAAAATCAGGAAAGCACATTATTTTACATTTTGGCAAATCTTCTTAATATCTAGCCTAATAGGAGATTGCTGGAATTTCATTTCTACTTCCACACTCAGTGTGTCAGGATCTGTTTTGGTTTTGGCTTTTTGGTTGTTAAAGAAAATATGACATCACAAATATGTAATAGGAAAAGGGAAATATTTTAATAGATTTTTAGATAATTATGCGCATTATTCTTTAATTCTATATCAAAACATGACAAGCAGTTTCTAAAAGGTTAGTTGCCTTGTGGAATGTGAAACCATATCCATGAGCTTTTATGAACTTTTCCTAATTCTGTTAACATTAAAATTCATTGGACCGTCTTGTACTTTGAATGGATCTTTTGCCAATGCATTGTTTTGTATCATCATGCCTTCATCATTTGGAAAATAGTATTTCACTGAAGTAAACAGATCGTCCAAATCCAGACACCTTTCATTATGCAATATTAAAAAAAAAATTCACATGTGTATCACCAGTGATCTCATCAGAAAAATTGTTTAAGTAGTGGGAAGCTGTTAAACTCTAGGTGACATATACAAGCTTTCCAAAATTCTAGTTTTCACTTGAAAGCCCAGGCTTTCTTATTGGCAATGCTTGCCATTGTTTTCCCTAAAGTGACATATTTGCTTCATTTATCTTCAAGTATATGTCTGTGAAGGAGCCACGTGTGCATAACTGCAACCTGCTGGAGTCTGGCTACACTCCATGCAGAGGCCAAACACTAGAAGCCAGGTGTGATAAAAGGAAAGCGACTTTTTTTTTTTGAGATGGAGTCTCGCCCTGTTTCGCAGGCTGAAGTGCAATGGTGTGATCTCAGCTCACTGCAACCCCCACCACCTGGGTTCAAATGATTATCCTGCCCCAGGCTCCTGAGTAGCTGGGATTACAGGTGCCTGCCGAGCTAATTGTTTGTTTTTTTATTTTTGTTTTTTTAACAAAAACAAAAATAGAGCCGGGTTTTCGCCATGTTGGCCAGGATGGTCTCAAACTCCTGGCCTCAAGTGACCCACCCACCTCAGCCTCCTAAAATTCTGGGATTATAGTTATTTGATTTTTTTTTTTTCTTTGAGACCAAGTCACTCTCTGCTGCCCAGCCTGGAGTGTAGTGATGCAATCTCGGCTCACTGCAACCTCTGCCTCCCAGGTTCAAGAGATACTCCTGCCTCAGCCTCCTGAGTAGTTAGGTTTACAGTCATGTGCCACCACACCCCTGTTGACACAACTGCCCTCTGCAACAACACTTCTGGTAAGAAAAATATTCTACAGATGTGTTAAGTAAACAGGTAATATAAATAATGGTTTAAATATACATTCTCTAACGGGCTAAACAAAAAAATATGATATTAGAGCAGAACAAATAGATCAAATTGGGAGAATACTGAAACAGATCCACATATATTGAACTTTTGTACCATGATATATAGGCAGTATTTCTGATTGGTGTGTAACAGACAATGATTATATATGGCATTGGGTCAGTTGGAGGACATAACGATAGATCCCTATTTCTTTCTTTTTTTTTTTTTAAGACAGGGTTTCACCATGTTGGTCAGGCTGGTCTTGAACTCCTGACCTCAGGTGATCCGCCCTCCTCAGCCTCCCAGAGTGCTGGGATTACAGGCACGAGCCACCGTGCCCGGCCTAGATCCCTATTTCATGACAAATTCAAATATAACCTCATATTGTAAATCAAAAATAAAATTCCAAGCCTCCCGAACATCTGAATGGACCCCTCCTCTTGGCCAAGGACTTTCCAAAGATAACCTGAAAAACTAGTTCAGGGCATGGTGGGAAGGGGGAGTCAGACACCAATTATTACACCCTCCTCCCTTTTAGAATTCAGGCCCAGTTGACCAGCGTTAACATTAAAACAGGTCTTAAGACTGGTGTAGCATTACATGACAGATCATGGGCCCTGAAAGAAATTGAAATGTTTACCCCAAATTGTATTTCTTTGCCATATCTTGAAGTAATCTTGCAAGGCTGTCTCTCGTGGGGAAAATCTACATTCTGAAGAGAATCCACTTACTTTTCTAGGCCTTTTTCCTGATCTGAAAGAGAATCAGCTCTTGATAAGACACTACAGGCTAGGCGAAGTGGCTCACACCGATAATCTCAGCACTTTGGGAGGCCAAGGTGGGTGGATCACCTGAGGTCAGGAGTTTGAGATCAGCCTGGCCAATATGGTGAAACCCCATCTCTACTAAAAATACAAAAGAATTAGCCAGGTGTGGAAGCACACGCCTGTAATCCCAGCTACTCAGGAGGTTGAGGCAGGAGAATTGCTTGAACCCAGGAGGCAGAGGTTGCAGTGAGCTGAGATCATGCCATTGCACTCCAACTGGGAAGCAAGAGCAAAACTCTGTCTCAAAAAAAAAAGGCCAGCCCAGTGGCTTACGATTGTAATCCCAACACTTTGGGAGACCAAGGCAGGCAGATCACGAGGTCAGGAGATCAAGACAATTCTGGCCGACATGGTGAAACCCTGTCTCTACTAAAAATACAAAAATCAGCTGGGTGTGGGGGCACACACCTGTAATACCAGTTACTTGGGAGGCTGAGGCAAGAGAATGACTTGAACCTGAGAGGCAGAGATTGCAGTGAGCTCAGATTGTGCCACTGCATTCGAGCCTGGTGACAGAGCGAGACTCCATCTCAAAATAAAAGACACATTTACAATCTATTCTGTCTGCAGCGTGCTACTGGAGGCTTCCTCTGCATAATGGGAAGTTGGTTTCTACAACGCCTTAACTTAACCCAGACATTCCCCTCTATTGATTCTAGGTCTTTAGACAATAACTTCACTCTTTCAACCAATTGCCAGTCAGAAAATCTTCAACCTATGACTTGAAGCCCTTGCATTGAGTTGTCCTTTTATTCTAGACCATACATCTTCCATGTATTGATTAACGTCTCCCCAAAATATTTAAAACCAAGCTGTAGGCCAACCACCTTGGCCACATGTCTCAGGATCTCTTGAGGTTTGTGTCACAGGCCATTGGTCAGTTTTTTTTTTTTAGCCCTATGTGCCAGGTGTTATGCTAGACATCAAATAGGTGTGGCCTCTGCCCTTATAGAACTGAAGTCTACATTTAGAGGGACTATAGAATTTGTTATTCAAACTGGGCATTTTTAATGAGTGAAAGGAAGCTCTATTAAAAAGCACATCTGCTGGGCACAGTGGCTCACGCCTGTAATCCCAGCACTTTGGGAGGCT